GGGTCCCGGGGCCGGTCCGGGGCCGGTACGGGGGGGACACTGGGGGTTGTGATCCATTGCCGGTCACGAAAAAGGAAAAAAAAAAAAAAAAAAAAGAAAGAAAGAAAATAAAGATTCCTCCCTCGTAATTGGCAGTTTGTCAATTTCTTTTTTTTTTTTTTTTTTTTCCTTTTTCGTGACCGGCAATGGATCACAACCCTCAGTGTCGCCCCCGCACCGGACCGGGACCAGCAACGGCAACGGGATCGCAACCCTCGGTGTTGCTCCCACACCTCGCTCAGCCAGTGAGCGGCCGGTCTGTATGTGGATTCCGAACCCTCGGCGGGAGCACCACCGCGCTTCCCAAGCGGCGCACTATAGCAGTGCGCCACCGGGCCGGCCCAGCAGTTTGTCAATTTCTAGCCTGCCATGAGAAACACTCCTAATAGCTTTTTCCTTTTCCTTTTCCATTTTGAAAGATATATGTGTTACTGTTGGAACACAGCAGTGTATATATGTTAGTTATTTTGACTTTTTGAATTCTTCTTGGCAAGAACTTTGACCAAAACACAAAACAGTACCCAATAAATAGCTTTATAAGGAATTTGTTTAATGTACATTAAAAAACTTTTTAGCTAATTCCTAAAGGTTACTTTTGAAATACAGATTGTTCTCCGTTGAGCTTTAATACAGAACAGTGATAGTACTGAAGATCTTAACTAGTTTTCTACCATGACTCAGTGAATGATTTAATCATATAATTTTACCCAGACACTAAAACACAGTTCCAAATTTCATAAAGAGTAATATTCTTGGGCCGGCCCCGTGGCTCACTCGGGAGAGTGTGGTGCTGATAGTGCCAAGGCCGCAGGTTCAGATCCTACATAGGGATGGCCGGTGTGCTCACTGGCTGAGCGTGGTGTAGACGACACCGAGTGTAGGGTTGTGATCCCCTTACCAGTGAGGAAAAATAATAATAATAATAATAATAATAATGTTCTGCTAATTTCCCTTTTCTTTACTTCACATAGTATGAATTTCAGTTCATTATTTGGCAGTATGTTTTCTTACCTGACAATACGTTATACCAGAATTTCATAAGTATTTTTAAAAATACCAGTTTCTTCTTTACTATGTGCCTGTGAGGTTCAGCAAGCATGCTTTCTATTTTTTGACATGGAAATTAAAGTGAAGTGTTCTGCTGTAGGTTATACAATAGGTTCCCTCATCTTAGAGCATTACATTATGAACCCACAGAAACAGCAGATCCAGCAGTTAGTCTTTCTGATGATTATCTTTCCGTATGTGGTTTTTCTCTGGAATTGGACTCTAGGGAATTAAGAGAAAGTGTTTCTATTTGAGGAATGCAAAATTAAAATAAATTTGCAGTTATGTGTATTAAACCCTGGCATGTTTGATGACTTCTGACCTAGCTCACTTTTTTTTCTTTTTTCTTTTTCTACACAGATTGATAGAGCTGCATTCTCCTGATAGCAGGAACACGTTGATCCTGCGTTGCAAGGATACAGCCACAGCACACTCCTGGTTCGTAGCTATCCACACCAACATAATGGCTCTCCTCCCACAGGTGTTGGCTGAACTCAATGCCATGCTTGGTGCAACCAGTACAGCAGGAGGCAGCAAGGAAGTCAAACACATTGCCTGGCTGGCAGAACAGGTAGGCTGGGAGGTAGGGCAGGATCTCACCTGGTCCCCATTCAGAGCCAGAATGGTTCCCCCATTTCATATATCTGTAATATGTATCATGCTGTTAGGTCCTGGATATCTAGCTTGCAGTTCTTTTGTTCATCAGTCTTTTGCTTCTCCTCCTTTTTTTCCTTTCTGCCTTTCAGCTATTTGTTGCTGATTAACACCTCCACCAGAAGAATTAACAATCACACTATCAGGTTGTAATCTTCATCACAACCTGACTAAGAAAAAGAGGTTCTCATTACCTTCTCTGTCTTTAATGACAGAAAGTAATTATCATGATTTTAGAACAGGGTCAGCAAACTTTTTCTGTAAAGGGCCAGGTAGCATCACAACTACTTACTCTGCTTTTTTTTTTTTTTTTTTTTTTTTTTAAAGATGACCGGTAAGGGGATCCTAACCCCAACTTGGCGTTGTCAGCACCACACTCTCCCAAGTGAGCTAACCGGCCATGCCTATATAGGGATCCAAACCCGTGGCCCTGGTGTCATCAGCACCACACTCTTCCCAAGTGAGCCATGGGCTGGCCCTCTTACTCTGCTTTTGTACCAAGAAAACAGTCATAGACAATATCAAAATGAATGGGTGTGACTGTGTTTCAGTAAAACTTTATTTACAAAATCAGGTGGTGGGCTGGATTTGGGCCAGAGATCATTAACAATTTTCACAACCCTTGTTCTAATCTATTGGCAGAGTTTCCAGGGTCAGCAGGCTGTAGTTTGCTTCTCAGCTCTGGGAAAAGTATAAAATATACAAAATATCTTATAAGCCATTAGCCAAAGGTAACAACTGTCTTTTCTAACTAAAAATTGAAAAGAAGAGAAACAAGAGAGCCTAAGTGAATGTTGAGTGATGGGAAAGGAAGAATTCAACAATCCAAGTTATTTTAGATCCCAGGTTTGACAAAAGGAGGGTGAAAGTTCTACGTGACGTTAGTTACACCTATTTTCTTTTGGGGTCTTCACTCTCAGCTGGGCCAGGGGGACTTAAAAAAGAAGACTGAACTAGGGATTTCAAAGATGAGTGTTCAAATGCTGGCTCTGTTTTTCTCTGGTTTTAGACCTTTTTAAAACTCCATCTCTTTGACTCCTAGTTCCCTCTTGTGTCTGCAAAGGGACAGGGAATGGACTAGCACTGATTCTCAAATATGTTAGAATCAGCCTAGAGAGGTTTCTGTTCTTTTGTTTTGTTTTGTTTTGTTTTAAATAGTTTCCCAATTTTGCTACTCACCCTCCTCCCCAACAAAGTTTTTATTTTATTTTTCCAGTCGAGGTTGATTTTGTTTATTTAGAGAGGATGTTGTCCCCAACAAAGTTGTAATTTGGTAGATCTGTGGCAGGGCCTGGCAATCTTGTTTGGTAGCTCCCCAGGTAATTATGCTGTGGAACCAATTTTGGATCCCAATAATCCTTTTTTTTAACCTCTGAAATTTTATGAGTGTTTCAAGTAAAATTATAGTAAATTAGAACACAGAATTAGTAAAGTGATCATTTCTGTGAAGCATAATTTGAATAACTAAGCAAAGAAATGAAAATGAAAATCATGAAATATTGAAAATGAAATTGAAAATCATGAAAATAATGAAAATCATGGTATAAGTACATATGACTTTAGAAGTTTTAATATTTTAGTTATGTTTATCATTATTTCTATATTATTTTTAAATTGTAGTTGGAAAACTGGATTGAATGAAAATTGTTCTGTGCTTTCAGTAATGCCAGAAATCTTTGATTTTAAAAAGGTAACACATTCACATAGTTCAAAAGTCAAAGGATAAAAAATTAATAGGTGAAAAGTCTTGCTCTTCTTCCTGTCCTCCATCCACCAACTTCCCATCCCCTTTCCCCCAGAGAAGGAATCACTTTTATTTCTTCCTACTAAATCTTTTGGAGTTTCTTTATAAGAAAATATGAGCATTTATTCATCTTTTCCTCTTTTATAAAAGATTCCAGCCACACACCCCTGCTCCCCCAAAAGATAGCATATTATGCATACTACTTTAAACCTTGCTTTTTGGGCCGGCCCGTGGCTCACTCAGGAGAGTGTGGTACTGATAACACCAAGTCCACGGGTTCGGATCCCATATAGGGATGGCTGGTTAGCTCACTTGGGAGAGTGTGGTGCTGACAATACCAAATCTAGGGTTAAGATCCCCTTACTGGTCATCTTTAAAAAAAAAAAAAAAACCTTTTTTTTTTTTTTCTTTCATTAAAGAGTATATCCTGGAGAGCTTTTCATATCAATGCACAGAGAACTACCTCATTCTTTTTTACAACTGTAAAGTATTCCATTATGTGGCTGTAATTAAATAAGCACTTGCCCCAGTTTTGTTGTTATATTTTGCCATTACAAATGATGCTGCAATGAATAGCCTTGCAGTTTGTCCTTTCAAGTGTGCTCTATCCAAACTCTTTGGTTCCTGAGTTCAGATAGATTAGACAAGAAGGGAACCCACACTATCAGAATATATTTGGTTCTTAAGTTTCTGATAGTGAGTAGTAAAACTTTGGTTAGTAGGGGATTTATCCAAAAGTTTACATCAGTTCTTAAGTCTGGATAGTAAGAGTTCAGACAGTAGGCGATATTTCTATATGTCTAGAATAAATCCCTAGAAGTGCTGGGTCAAAAGGTATATTATTACTTACCTATCACTGCATAACAAATTATCCCCAAGACTTAGTGGCTTAAAATAACAAACATTCACTTCAGTTTCTAAGGATCGGAAATCTGATGGTGCTTAGCTGGATGATTCTAGCTCAGGATCTCTCATGAAGTTTCAGTTAAGTGATCAGCCAGGATTGCAGTTATCTGGGGGTAGATGGTTTACTTCCAAGATGATTGATTTACCTTGCTGTTGGCAGTTTCTTTCTGGCTATTGGCAGAAGTCGTCAGTCCCTCCAATGTGGACCTTTTCACAGGGCTGCCTGAGTGTCCTTGCAACACGATTACTGATTTTCCCCAAAGAGTGATCTGAGAGAGAGAACAAGATGGAAGCAACGGTGCCTTTTATGGCCTAATCTCAAAAGTAACACACTGTTACTTCTGCTTTCTTCTTTCCGTTAGAAATGAGTCACTAAGTCCAGCCTATACCCAAGGGGAGGGAATTCAGTCTCCACCTCTTGAAAGGAAGAGTAGCAGAGAATTTGTGGGCATATCTTAAAATTACCATGAGGGGTATATGCATTTGTAATTTTGATAAATATTGCCAAATTGCCTTCCATGGGGGTTGTACTAATTTAGATTCCCACCAGAAATATTTGAGAGTTGCCAGACTTTTAAGTGGACTTAATTTGGTTTATGCTAGAAAGGAGGAAAATAAAGCTACCAATTCATTACAATCTGCTTTTGTGGACTATGTTTATGTGTGTGTTTCCACCACTCAACTGGGAGCTCATGGAAGATAGGAGCACATTTTCTCCAAATCTTTATTGCCTCCAGAAAACTTACTCTAGTACTTTGTGTGTAATAGATGCTGTTATTTTTTTCTTTGTCTACATACATACATACATATAAAAAGCAATCAGACAGGTCACTAATTATAAAATATTGTCCAAGAACACAAGTTCAAGGTTGGGAAATAATATTAAGTGAAGAAGTTTCAACCAGTTTAAAAATAGTACCACTGAACTAATTCAGAGTATACTGTTTCTAAAATACTCTTGACTTTTTTTTTTTTTGTCTTTTTCCGTGTCCGGCAACGGATCGCAACCCTCAGTGTCGCCCCCGTACCGGACCGGGACCGGCAACGGGACCGCAGCCCTCGGTGCTGCTCCCACGCCTCGCTCAGCCAGTGAGCGGGAACCGGTCTGTATGTGGGATCCGAACCCTCGGTGGGAGCGCCGCTGCGCTTCCCAAGCAGCGCACTACAGCAGTGCGCCACCGGGCCGGCCCATACTCTTGACTTTTATTTTTTCAAGTAGTTGCTTGGTTTACTCAAATCAAATATCACTCTCAGAATAAGGTGTTCAAACAAGGCTGTATACCATTTCTCAGAGGTGTTATAATGATTTTATGTATCTAATGAACTAGGTAAATGCCAAAGCCCTTTCTACCTATAAGATTGGTTAATTCTGTGAGTATGAAAATGATCAAGAAAATTTGGATCATGTAATCTGTTTAGTATAGGTAAACATTCCTTTTGGCAAGAGGTGAATTTCCTGAATAACTTGCATGTAAATGAAACTGTTTCAGTTCCACTTAGAGAAGATAGTCATTTGGGGCAGATAAATTAAGGAAGGATCGTTTGTTTAACTTTAAATGATCTCTCCTTAATTTATCTTTTTTATTACTTCATGTTGTCATACACTGTGTTTGCTTAAAACAAGGAATACCTATACAACAGGTATTTGGTAACTAATAGATAATCTGTTCTATATATAGGACATCTATCTCTTTACTGATAACTGGTTTTTACGTGACTGATATTTTACCCTTTAATTGGTTATGTTCATCCCCCCTCCCCGTGTTTACAGAGGTTTTTTTAAATTAACAAATAATAATTGCATATATTTGTTGGGTAAAATGTACATTTCAATATTCATATACATTGTGGAATGATCAAATTAGACTAATTAGCATATCCATCATCTCAAATATTTATCCTTTCTTTGTGGTGAGAATACTTAAGAATCCTGTCTTTTAGCTATTTAGAAATACAGTATATTATTAACTATAGGCATCCAGCTGTGCAATAGATCACCAGAACTTATTCTTCGTATCTAACTGAAATTTTGTACCCTTTGACCAACATCTCTCTGTTCCGCATCTCCCTTGCTTCCCACCCTGCCCCAGCCTCTGGTAACCACCCTTCTACTCTCTACTTCTATGAGTTCAATTTTTTTAAGATTCCACATTTAAGTGAGATCATATAGTATTTGTCTCTCTGTGCCTGGCTCTTTCACTTAGCGTAAAGTGCTCTACATTCATCCATGTTATTGCAAATGGCAGAATTTCCTGCTCTTTTTAAGGTGGAATAGTATTCCATTGTGTATTTATATACTACATTTTAAAAATCCATTTGTCTGTTGACGGACACTTTGGTTGTTTCCATATCTTGGCTATTGTAAATAATGCTACAATAAACATGACAGTGCAGACATCTCTTTGACATACTGATTTCAATTTCTTTGGATATATACACCCAAAAGTGGGATTACTGGATTGTATGGTAATTCTATTTTTAGTTTTTTGAGGAACATCTATACCATTTTCTAGAATGGCTGTACTAATTTACATTCCCACCAACAGTGTACGAGGGTTTTTCTCCACATCTTCACCAACACTTGTTATTGTTCATCTTTTTTTTTTTTAAAGATGACCGGTAAGGGGATCTTAACCCTTGACTTGGTGTTGTCAGCACCACGCTCTCCCAAGTGAGCTAACCGGCCATCCCTATATGGGATCCGAACCCATGGCCGTGGTGTTATCAGCACCACATTCTCCCGAGTGAGCCACGGGCCAGCCCATTGTTCATCTTTTTGATAATAGCCAATCTACCAGATGTGAGGTGATACCTTATTGTGATTTTAATTTCCATTTCTCTGATGATAGAGATATTGAACATTTTTCTATGTATCTGTTGGCTATCTGTATGTCTTCTTTTGAGAAATGTTTATTTAGGTCCTTTGCCCGTTTTTAAATAGGTTTTTTATTTTCTTGTTATTGAGTAGTTTCTTGCATAGTTTGGATATTAGCCCCTTATCTGATGTATCATTTTCAAATACTTTCTCCCAGTTTGTGGGTTGTCTCTACTCTGTTAATTATTTCCTTTGCTGTGCAGAAGCTTTCTAGTTTGATGTAATCCCATTTGTCTATTTTTACTTCCATTGCTTGTGCTTTTCAGAGTCTGCTTATATTTCTAAAAGTGAATTTCCTTTGAATCTACCAAATGGAGGACATGTACATTACCTGTCAAAAAAGAGATTTATAGGATTAAAGGATTTAGGGAATGAATAATAACTATTAGTAGTTTTTCATCTTTAGTGCTATCCAACTCTATTTATTAGAAAATAAGGGCCGGCCCAGTGGTGCTCTCGGTGGAGTGCAGCGCTTGGGAGCGTGGCAGCTCCCGCCGAGGGTTCGGATCCCATATAGAGACTGGTCCGCTCACTGGTTGAGCGCGGTGCGGGCGCAACACCGAGGGTTGCGATCCCGTTGCCGGTCACGGTACGGGCGAGACACTGAGGGTTGCGATCCCGTTACCGGTCACAAAAAAAGACAAAAAGGAAAAAAAATAAATAAATAAAATTTGGAGAATGCTATTGTTTAACCAGGTGTATGTACATGTGGGTATAGAAACACAAGCAAAGTAAAACCCTAACATTAGTATCCCTTTTTTCTCCAGCTAAAAATTCAGTAGTGAAGCCATAAGACTGCTGTGCTGATAATCACAACAGAAAACAAATACTATACATAGCAGACAGCATTTTGACTCCAGTAAAAGCAAACAATATACTTAAAAGTTAAGGCAAATAGGCAAATAAAATTACTAAAATTGTAGTTTCATTTTTCTCCAATGGTAAGTAGAAAAGGAAAAAGATGTTCTCTAAAAACTAAGGACTTATCTAAAGAATAAACACTTTAAAAAAATTTTTTAAAAAATTAAATAAAAAGTTCTCTGTCTTGAAATTAGACATTGCTTCTATTGGCATTAGCTTTTTTTTTTTTTTTTTGGTGGCTGGCGGTACAGCGATCTGAACTCTTGACCTTGGTGTTATAACATCATGCTCTAACTGACTGAGCCAACCAGCCAGCCCTACCATTAGCATTTTTTCTTTAGGGCCCAAAATATCTTATTTTGGAAGAAATACATTTATTTTAGGTTTTCCAAATAGCATATACTCTGGCCTAGCCTTCAAAATGCCCCTCTTAGGGCCGGCCCGGTGGCGCACTGGATAGTGCGCCGCTTGGGAAGCGCGGCGGCGCTCCCGTCCGAGGGTTCGGATCCCACATACAGACCGGCTCCCGCTCACTGGCTGAGCGAGGCGCGGGAGCAACGCTGAAGCTTGCGATCCCGTTGCCGGTCCCCGGTCCGGTACGGGGGCAACACTGAGGGTTGCAATCCGTTGCCGGACACGGAAAAAAGACAAAAAAAAAAAATGCCCCTCTTGTAACTTAAGATAAAAGTCTATTTTTAAAAATGAGACTATTATTTTAACCCTTTGATAGATAGATTTTATATTATTTCCCCTATTGAAATATTGTCCTTAACAATCTTGCAAAGAAAGACTTACCAGTGAACGTAAACTAAAAATTCCTTCAGGGTATCTATGATCCAAAAATGTAAGTATCTAAGGGAACCTCTTTAGAGCCGATACTCTCCTTCCAGATATTGCACAATTACCCATATGGAGTTTTAGAAAACTAGGGTTCATTGATAAGCAAAGTATAATAATTTCTACAATACTCTGCTTGAATTCTCAGAGTTAGGTCATGTTTTTTGTTGCTTTCAGCACATGGAAGAACATGAGTCCTTTCATGGGCTAGAATTCATTTCCCACTACTACAATTAGCTTGGGGCGATGGCTAGGAGAAAAGAGTTTGGTGGTAGGTGTTATAACACAGAACTGAACCACTCAGTCCACTTTCAGGTTATAGATTTGTGTGTGTGTGTGTGTGTGTATGTGCGCGCGCATGTGCGTGTGTTGTCAAACCCTGGATCCCAGTGTTATCAGTATCATGCTCTAACCAACTGAGCTAACCAGCCTATAAAAGTATTCTTAAGGTGTTCTGCCAAGTCCAAAATACCTTCAGAAGTCATTAAGGAAAAGAAAATGAGAAGTGGTTATGAAGACAACTATTTAGGACATACGCGATTTATCAACTTGAATCCTGGTGATAATGAGGATCAGTGTTAAAATAAGTGTTGTTAAGCAGTCCCTGCTCAAAGGTCTGAGGAGAGCAAAAGTTCTTTTTTTTTGTCTTTTTTCGTGTCCGGCAACGGATCGCAACCCTCAGTGTTGCGCCCGTACCGGACTGGGACCGGCCACGGGATCACAACCCTCGGTGTTGCTCCCACACCTCGCTCAGCCAGTGAGTGGGAACCGGTCTGTATGTGGGATCCGAACCCTTGGCGGGAGCGCCACCGCGCTCCCAAGCGGCGCACTGTAGCAGTGAGCCACCGGGCCGGCCCAGAGAGCAAAAGTTCTGATGATGGCAGGGCTTCTCTTGAACACAGTCTTTTGCTTTTTGGCCTTGGATCCTTGACAATTCAGATAAAGTGGTTGTTTTCCTGCATTTTTAAATCTTTACAGAGATAACTTTGCTTTATCCAAGTAAGTACAATGGTACATTTAAAACTGAAGAAATAAACTTCCTAAAATATAATGGGGAACTCTGGCAATACTTTATTTCAGCATTTTCTAAAATATGACAGTGGATCATGATCAGCATTAAAAAAAAAAAGAATGTACACACCACCTGACACCTCCCAATGGAGAATCTCTACCAGTGGGAAGGAACTTGATGGGATGTTTCCTGTATCTCAAGTGTATTAGGATGGGAAAACAAAATGGAGGCCCACCGTGTTAGGCCATCACTGAAAGAACTTTTGCAATGACATATAATTATAGTTAGCTCTGATTTCTGGATTTTACCATTGTAACAGGCAAAACTAGATGGTGGAAGACAACAATGGAGACCTATTCTGATGGCTGTGACTGAGAAAGATTTGCTTCTTTATGACTGTATGCCGTGGACAAGAGATGCCTGGGCATCACCGTGTCATAGCTACCCTCTTGTTGCCACAAGGTAAGACTAAAGACAAAAAAATAAAATATTTATCCCACTCTAAATCTACTAAAGAGTTTCAAAGTGAATTCTATTATTTTAGGTGCCTAAAATAGCACTTAAGTAGCTGATATAGTCGACGTAGACAAAAACTTTTCTCTCACAACCTTATTGATCATTTTGCAGCTCCTAGCTCAAAATAAAGTATTTATGTTACTAGTATTTTTGTGTGCACTTTTTGAGTCGTGAAGCAACTTCCTAAATGCTCCCCTAAAGACTTGCTTCGTCATGAAGATAATAGTTTTGTGTTTTTTTTTTCTTTACTTTATTGACTGTGACTAGAAAACCACTGAAATTGTGATAGCCTTTGACTGAGTGATGAAATCATTTAAACCAGAATGTGGTACTGTGAATAAACCACACAACTCTGCCAAAATATTCTTTAACCTCTCTTTCTAATGTAAGAACACATAATTTTGATTCCATCAAATAAACATTGATTTGACCTGAAGCTAAAGTATATTTCTAGCATGCCAGATTTGGGAGGTTAGAAGGGAAAAGAATGGAGAAATTTAGATTTGGGGGCCAGAATGTCTTAATGGATAAATTAGAAAACATTTACATTCAATTTTATTTGTACTTCACAAAGAGTCAGGTGTTGATGTAACTCAAAAGTACACATTGAAAAGGAGCTCCACAGAAAAAGTATTTGGTAGTCCAAAGAGCTAAATGATGAAACCATCTAGAATGTTCTATAGAGAACAGTGTGGGGGTTTCCTGTTTTGAGCAGAAAAAGATTCATGTAAGGAGGACTATTCTTTGCATTACAGGAAGACTTTCACTTTATACAGGATTTCCTTCAACTTCCCAAGTTCCTTACATGTATCATTTGTTTTATAAAATATATAATTTTTACATTCTTTTTTAAAAATACAATTTTTTTACATAGCTTTCCAGGATTATCTCTTTAATTTAGAGATGGAGCTCCTAGATCACAGAATAAAGAGAATGGATTTGTTAGGCTTTAGAAGAAAGGTATGCCCTTGTTAATGCCTTTATAACAGAAATGTCTTACAGAAAGACTGAATTTTTTTTTTTTTTTTTTTTTTTTTTTTTTTTTCTTTTTGTCTTTTTCCGTGTCCGGCAACGGATCGCAACCCTCAGTGTTGCCCCCATACCGGACCGGGGACCGGCAACGGGATTGCAACCCTCGGCGCTGCTCCCGCGCCTCGCTCAGCCAGTGAGCGGGAACCGGTCTGTATGTGGGATCCGAACCCTCGGGCGGGAGCGCCGCCGTGCTTCCCAAGCGGCGCACTATCCAGTGCGTCACCGGGCCGGCCCCAGAAAGACTGAATTTAACTGTTAGTTTCTCTGTTTTTTTAAATTTTTTTTATTTTTATCCCCACTAAATTATAACCTCCCTGAAGTCAGGACTTATGACTTAATCTTCTCAGCACTTCCCACAATGCTCTGCATATAGTAGGCCCTCAGTAAATCTTAGTTGAATTAAATTCTGTTCCTTAAATTGTAGTTTCTCTGTCAGGGTTACATTGGGAACATTACAGGAATCCTACAAAAACATGTGGATATGTCTCAGTAGTTATAATTAGGGCAATCAAATTTTATTTTCCAAAGATTTCGAGCTTAAGAATATGACTATGGGCCGGCCCGTGGCTCACTCGGGAGAGTGTGGTGCTGATAACACCAAGGCCCCGGGTTCGGATCCTATATAGGGATGGCCGGTTCGCTCACTGGCTGAGCGTGGTGCTGACAACACCAAGTCAAGGGTTAAGATCCCCTTACCGGTCATCTTTAAAAAAAAAAAAAAAAAAAAAATGACTATGGAGATCTCTTAAATTTTAATTTAGTGGAAGAAGCTTACACTCTAGTTATGATTATAGAATACGAGAATGCTTGGACATTTCTTTAACTGTGTGCCACTGGAGGGATGGGGCAGAAACTTACCACATCCCATAGGTGAGCCTTTGTTCAATACTAGAAATTTCAATTTCACAAACAAATAATTTCTGGTCATAGACTAGACTAGGCATAGAACACCAAAGCATTTTGGTGCTAAAGAAGGAAGTAGGGTGGTTGTGTGTGTTCTGTCAGTGTGGTATTAATTGGCAACTAGGCAAAAGATATAGGTAAAATTTAAGGGCTAAAACTACAAAACTCTCGGAGGAAAATATAGAAGTAGATCTACATGACTTTGGGATAGGCAGAGCCTTCTTTGATATGATACCAAAAGCACATGAAACAATAAAAAAAATAGATAAATTTGACTTCATCAAAATTAAAAAGTTTTGTGCTTCAGGTATCACCATCAAGAAAGTGAAGACAACTCAGAATGGGAGAAAATATTTGAAAAATATATCTGATCAGCGACTTGTATCTAGAATATATAAAGAATTCTTACAACTCAGTAATCGAAAGATAAATTGTCCAATTAGAAAAAGGGAAAAGGATCTGAATAGGCATTTTTCTAAAGAGGATATACAAGTGCGTCCCCATACTGGCCAGCTGCCCCCCCAAATATACACACACGCACATATACATACATACACACATACATACATACACACAAATGGCTCAACATCATTAGCCATAAGGAAATGCGAATCAAAACTACAGTGAGATATCATCTCCTACTTACTAGGATGATGACAATAATTAAAAAGATAGATAATAACAAGAGTGGACAAGGATGTGGAACCTTCATACACTGCTGGTGGGAATGTAAAATAGGTGTGGCTGCTGTGGAAAACAGTCTGGAAGTTCCTCAAAAAGTTAAACACAGAGTCCCCATAAGCCCCAGTAATTTCAGTCCTAGGTATGTACCCTAGAGAAATGAAAACTTATGTCCCACAAAAACTTATACATGAATGTTCATAATGGCATTATTCACAGTAGCCAAAAAAAATGGAAACAACTCAAGTGCCCATCAACTGATAAATGGGGGAGGGAGCAATAGAGAGTGACTGCTAATGGGTATAGTCTTTTTTTTGGGGGGTATGAAAATCTAAAATCAAATGTGGTGACAGTTTCACAATTCTAAATATAGTAAAAACCATTGAATTTAAATGGGTATATTGTATGGTGTGTGAATTATATGTCAATAAAGCTGTTATGATTAAAACAAACCCCACAAGATTTAATAGGAAGGACTAAGACCAATACATAATAAACTGAGTTTTAATCCCTATTCTGCCATTTATAGTACATGATTGGGAGCATGTTACTGAAACTTTCTGTGACACAGATTTTCATGTAATTATTAAATGAGTTATACTTGAAAAATGTCTAGAATGGCACCTGACATATTGTAACTGCTCAGGTAAGTGTTAGCTGCTTTAATTGTAAGAGTAGTTTTGTATTATTAAATAAAAATTATATCAAAGAAGAATTCTATGTAAAAAGTAAAGTAATTGGTTTAATTTGGCCATGTTAAAAGAGGAGCTCTTGCTCTACTAGTTTTTATACATAGTCAAAGTTTCATATTAAACAAGAAGAATTCAAATGCGTTATTTGGATCAACCTAGACATGCAAATTGAACTGACCGTAAATTAAATGGATGGGTACTGTAGCTCTCTAAACATGTTGTTTCTTAATAAGTTTAATTAATGTAGCAACAGGGATTCTTTACTCCTTGTTCAGGAAGTACTGGTGCATTAGGATCCAAAATGACAGGCAGATGACAGGTTTAGTTTTTCCATGTGGCCGTGATGTTGGCCAGGTGGAATTAGTTGAAGTCACTTCAACCATGATAGAATTAAGTGGTGCTTAATCACTACCAGCCAGAGGGGATAGAGGGTAGCCACTGAGGGAGACCAGAGGATGGAACAAGGCCAGGAGGTATCCCACAAAAGGAGGCGAGGCCAGAAAGTTGTAAGCTTATGGCTTTTTAGTGTGGGGGAAAGAGAGGGTTTGAGATTTATATGAGTAATGAGAAAGGGCTGAATGTTCATTTTCTCTAATTCTATTTCTAATACTTTGGAACATAGATGTTCTCATGAGTGGATGAGATTAAAAAAGAGAGATAGAGATAGCATAAACACATAGGGAAGGAAAGGAAATTAAGGACCTTGATTATCCACAAAAGTAGATAGTCCCTGATAAATTAAGAATTAATTATAGTTTAAAATCAGATAACATTGTTAGAGTGATATAAATTAATATGAGTTACTATTTATATTAAATTGCACATTTACACATTCTTGGAAACCAAAATTCTGTGTGTGCGTGTGTTCGTTTTCTCAATAGCTATTTCAGGTTGGTGAGGAATTAAGTAAAACATGAAAGTGATAAATGAACAGGATTTTTATTTTACACGTTTCTTGAGATTAAAGCAAGATACATGACAGATAGAAAGACACATTGGTTCTATAAGTTTTCAGGATATGGACTTAGTAATCTTTTCCTATAAGCTTTCTCTGACTAGAAGAGAAAAAGATCTCAAAGAAAGTGTGTTACTTTACAATGTGGAAAATTGGTCTTGTGCTTATGGGACTTATGGGACAAAAGCTGCTAAAATGCCTTTGCATGAGCTCATCTGGCCTCCCTGCAAAAAGGGGGCCTTTTGGCAGTGTGTCCTAACGAACTGCTGCTCAGTAAGAGTTCGGCAGCTGGTTTGAATTAGATTTCCTTTGCCAAATATTTCATAATCAAATCTGTAGGAAAAAATTCTCCTAGATATTATATTTTTTAATGCCTGGCTTGGGATTAGCAATCAAACTGAATACGGTAGAATACCTCTGTCACTTCCCCAACACTCTCTTTTACTGGGATCATATGAGGATTAATTTTGAAACTTATTTAACTCTTTCTGAGATAGCTAATGTTTAAATGGCATATTGGAGTTACATGAAGCAGCTCAGTAAAGCAGTTCTCAAAGTATACTTCATGGACTCGGGGGATCCCCTTTCAGGGGGTCTGTGAGTTCAAAGCATTTTCACAGTAATACTAAGATATTATTTGCTTTTTTTCACTGTGTCGACATTTGCAGTGAGGGTAGGTGGGT